GTCAAGTCATGAGCTGGCTGAAATCGTTTATCCGTGAATTGTAAAAGTAGGCATGACTAAAACATAACATTAGGCAAAGTTAAAAAATAAAATAAAGCGAAATCCACGCATACCGATCAAGATGTTTGATCATCGTAACAATGCCGAGGTGCTTCAAATAAAGATATAATAAACTCAATTGCAACAGATATGCTTATAACTTGGTCGGAATCTTTAACGTTTCGATCGGATCATGGTCCAAACAACAACATAATGATAAAATCACACCAAGGATTCGTGATCATTTACCTTTCCGACACCTAGGCAAGTAAAAGTGACAAACATACGCATCGTTAGAATAACTAGTTTACAAATTAGCTAGGTTATTTATTCTCATACCTGTGTCTCCAATGATAATGTACTATTTGTTTAACATTATGAATCCACAGTGGAACGACAAAAAAGGGTTAGTGTCGGGAAATTAATGATTTTGATAAGGGCAGAAATCAAAATTCAAACCTTTATAATGTAGTCGTAGGTGAAGTTGGACATTTTGTGCCAGTAAAACGAATCTAGAATGAAAGAGTAAAAGTTTGCTGAACCGTAAAACAATGAATTGCTGATAAGCGTGAATTACGGCAAACGAGTTTGAAGGAAAGTCAAGGGAGAGGTGGAATAAGAAGAATATACAGTTTGAGGGTTAAATGTGAACTATGGATTTTTATATTCACGTAACACTACTGTGCACGCTTTTTGGTCATAACCCTGCATCAAAGAAAATCACTATTGAACGGAATTTTTTAGTCCGTATTTTCCCGTCATCGGTCTAAATTTATACGTAGCCAGAAAATCAACTGCTAAATTAATTGATTAACTCAAGTTTGACCATGTCTCAATGGTTGTCGCAAGGTGAGTTGTGAGGCCGTCCTTCTCCTACTTTTTGACAAAGTGGTTTCCAAAGTTAGCACGATTGTCGTATACCTGGATTCTTCGATTTGTGAAATACGACGTTTGCATTTTTATATCCGAAAAAACTTTTAAATCTTGTTGTGGCAACTATTAATGTTGGGAAATTTTTTCCTTGCGTAGGACATTTTCCACCTCCCCCACAATATTCCACTTATCAGGGGTCTC